GGCATTATTGGGCACAAAACCCGTGACACCTGAAATTTATTTTATATTCTTGACCCGTTATAGCTGGGGGTCAGCCATTTTGTTCACCGCGCGAAGCGCTCTAACGTCAGTGTGTCTATAGGCAGTGCAAGTGATGCTGTCTCTGGATGGACGTTTTATTGCCTACAGAGTGATATTTACAAATACTTCGGGCATTCACTGCTGAGGGCTGAAATGTGCGTTCCTGTTTATCGTCACTCATAAAAAGTTATGCAATTAACTGCGCAAACAAATGAAACCGAATGTCCCTAATCAGATGTATGTACATTGCCGGTGTTCGTCTCTTGCCGAGAAACACAAATAAACCGAGGGCTTACCGTAAAGCGTAAGTTATAACAGAAACATGTCTTCCTATTGCCAGGAGTCGATCACAGTGACCGCGGGGTCTAAGGCCTTCGCTCGCTCGAACCCTGGGATCATGGGTTCGAATCCCACTAAGGCATGGGTGTTTGTGTGAGCGTTTATTCTGTGTTTGTGTTGTCCTGTGTGTAGGCAGCGGCGTTGCGACAGACTGATCACTCGTCCAAGGAGTCCTACGGTCTGTGAAAATAAAATTATGAAACTGAAGTCCAGGGTCCAAGAAAGGGCTGTAGAGTCAATGATGAATGAATGAAGAAACTTGCCAGGAAGGGCACTAGTATAGACACGAATGCGGATTGAACTGAACATACGAAGACGGCAACATTCAAAATCAGAGATGAAAGAAAAGGTCGCTGGGCCCCTAAGTAATAAGATGGCGAAATGTCACAGGAAAGGATTTCATTTTTTGATCTAGATTTTTAGAAATAGAGATTGGAAGATAATAAAATATATTGATGTAATTGAAAGACCTATACGAGTATTATGAATCTCCCACATTTTCTAGACAATCGGCTCACGGATGGCGGTGAGGTTACCAGCCTTACTCGCCGGCGGACCGCCCTTTACCCCCCGGAAAATTTCTGGTACTCATTTCTGTTAGAGGCTGAAGTCGGNCTACTACTACTACTACTACTAATAATAATAATAATAATAATAATAATAACAACAACAACAGCAAACATGTAGTCAGTTGCATGCAGTACAACAATCCTACCACGATTCACATTATCCCAGACCATCTGCGCAGGGTCCCCGGCGCACTCGCCAGCGAGCGAAATTGCATTTCAGTATCTGTTTTCAGCCTGTGAACTTCGCGGGTTCTGCCCGGAACCGCTTGTTTTCTGAGACTTCACGTAATCACATAACTGTCTAAAGTTTGTTAGCCTGCTTGTGTACAATACTGCATATCAGTGAGCAATGAACCATACCGGTTATCTTAGATGTCTTAAGAGTACGCATCACACTATAAGGGGAGATACGTTAGAACATGGCGACGTAGCGAAACTTTCTGGTTCACTCTAGCGACTCTCGATTCATACTAAAGGGCAATACGCACTGAACTGTACCACAAATTTACGCAGTGCGATCCATTTAAAACCACGCAAGTACAGTGGAAACTCTAGTGTTCAAGACGATAGATGCGTGTATTCAGAAGAGGAGAGGATACTGCCAGCATGTTGTGTACCACTCATGTTTTACGTTCAGTCAGATATAAAATGCGACGACTTTTTTAGGTGGTACGATTTTAAATGGGTCACGCGGTATAATTAACGTACTTCATTCTTGCCTGTTCTACAGGTGAGTGAGAAACTCTTGCAAAACGTGCAGTGTGTTACACAAAATGCCAGTTGAAGTGATGATTGGACCGTCAGGTGCAGTTAGCGGATGCTCTTGGCTACTGCAAGGAAATTTTCGAAATCTGCTTTGTAGTGCATAACTATTCTGGGGGTCATTCAGTGCTGCAGGTCACTGGATGGGGTTCCCAGCCGCTGGCACAAGAGAACGAAGCTTGTTCTGTAAGATTTTCAGTGGCAGTGAAATTACAAAGAAGACCACAATATGAAAGTTTGCTGTCCTGGATTAGGATGCTAGGCTGAAGGCAGCGTGTAACAAGATATGCACAACATATTTTGGTTACGTGAAATGAGTGGAAGATATTACAGGCATTGCACGAGGGATACA